CACACACACACACGCAAGCACATCAGAGGTGGGTCCAGGAACTTAATTTACCTTGAAATTTAGAACCTGTGGGTTCCTCAGAGTGTTGAATGCCAGGACAGGATAGTACATGACAAAGCCCATCGGGGTCCTAAAACTCCATCTCATCTCTAGCTCCCTGCAGAGGAGATGCTTCTATTCTTGAGGCATCCTTGTTTTGTTCCTGGTAAGCCTGGAATAGTTTTCTATACACCTCTGAGAACAGCCGAACTCCAGGATGTTTTAAGTCTTGATAATTCATGAGTGGAGCCAGTATCTTTTCAAAGTTTGAGTCCACCCCTTATTGTGGCAAAAATACCTGTCACTTCGTACTGTAATCTGGCAGAATGTGCGTATATCAAGGCAAAACTTCAGGTCTGCTTCTCCTGGTAGTATAAGATATGAAGGAGTTCATTCATATTCCTCTAAGGTTCTGGTAAAATCGTTATGTCATGTAAATGAACTAGATAATCCACATCCCACATTGCCTTGACCATGGAGTGGTTAAAGGGATCAGGGAAGATGTTCTAGGGCATCCCTTCAAGTTGATAAAACACCACGCACCAGTAAGAATATGTTTTTTCTTTCCCTCATTAAGCATAGATTTTTCTTAGTATCACTCCTCATCCAATACCAACTCCCTGTATGGGAGTAGGTCCCACCTCTGAGAAAACCTATGCACACCCCCATTGTGTCCAAGTGTTCTACCCACTACCTGGGGAGTGGGGAGTTTATAGGGCCACATTGATAATCAGTAGTTCTTCAAAGAGTTTCTGTAAATCTCTAATTTTTTTTAAAGCTATTTTAACCTGCTCTCAGCAAACATGAGCCACACTCCTTTCATGGAGAAAGAAAAGGTTACTCTAGTTTAGGGCTTCCTTTTCAGTCTCTCCTCCTGATCTCTGTGTGGTTAGAAATCGCTGACATCAAAGCCCTCTGGATTTACCCACAGGTCCAGGTAGAACAAACCCAGAAGAGAGCAGAGGGGTGGTGCTCGGCTCCATGTGGCCTCTGCCCACTCTACCCACCACATCTGGAAAGGAAGGACCACTTTGTACCTACACACTGCCTTTGGAGAGTGCTACATTTTGTAAAGGCTGGATTTAAAAATCAGACATCTGGTAGCTAGAAGAGCCAGGATTCAACCCAGGTCTCACTCCAAAACTGTTTTCACTTGGCCAAAATTATATGTTGTTGATATGTCTGTCTACTTAGAAAACCCAAGAGAATCAATTAAAAATCTACTAGAGCCACAAAGAGAGCTCAGTAAGCTGACTGCTTTTAAACTAACTTTAACAATTTCAGACAACATAATGAAACAATTTAATATTTAAGGTACCTGCTAAAATCAGGGTGACTCCTTCTCTGGGCTATGTTTCTAGAAAGAATCAAAAGAAACCAGTAACAGTCGCTTCCTCTAGGGAGGAAAACTAAGTGACCAGGAATGGGAGTAGGAGGGAGACTTACACCTCACTAGTCAACATCTGATTGTTGTGCCATATGTACATGTTACCTACTGAAAATCAAAATTCCGTGGGATTAATAAGCACTGAGGCAAGAAGTTCAGGATATTGGGGCACCTGGATGGCTCAGTCGGAGGAGCATGTGACTCTCAATCTCAGTATCCTAAGTTCGAGCCCCACATTAGGTGTAGAGATTACTAAAAAGTAAATATAAATAAACTTTTAAAAAAAGCTCAGGATATTAACAGGACATTAAGCATCAAGACATTAGAACAACTGTTGAGTTGTTCTATCACCTCTCAATCATTTTCAACCTAAAATATTATTAAACAACACTCAAATGCTATCGGGTAGCATTTCAACCCTCTCTAATGAAATTTACTGTTTTTTCAAATGTCTAAGAAGATAGGAACCTCCTCTCCTATTTTTTAGGGATAGATTAACAAAGGTTTTGCTGTTACCTGGGGGATGGTTTGCTCTGGGGGATAGTTTATTACTCCTGTTATTACTTCCCTCTGGGTAAAATGACTGTCAGGTTAAGATCCAATTATTTCTGTCTCAGAAGGTCCAAAGTGCATATCTCTTTTTTTTTTTTTTTAAGAAAAGCTATTAAACAATAAGATATCATTAATTTGGGGCAGAAAGAGCTCTCACAGCAAAACCTTATGAGCATTTAGATGCTTTATTCTTTCCAATTATTAAAGTTCTCTTTTGCAAAAGGTACACATAGATCCTGGGCATCGTGAGTGCTTTTAAGGAGAAGAGTCCATAGTCACAGTTTGCCAATCCCATGTGATTTTCCAAGAGAGGAAAAACTATTCATTGTAACATAGATGGAGGCTTCTGTTATATAGAAGAAAAACTGATCAAGCATCCCCTGGACTAGATAATATTTACATCAGCAACCAAAATATAAACTACCAAGAGATCATTTTAAGAACTGTGCAGACTGGGGAGGGAAAACACCAGAAAAAAATTTCTGAGCATAAAATAGGGACTTGAATAAATGGAGAGACTTGCAGAAAGTAATGGCAAAGACCTCAGACCCTGGCATCACAGGCACCTGCTCACCTGTAAAAGTGAGGGGGTTCCTAGTATCCTCTACTGCAGAGAACAACAGAGAGATGCCTACAGAAAGGGGACACTGTTACCCGTGATGTAGTCTGTGATATGCTGGGTTTCACAGAAGCTAAAGATGCCAGCATTTTCTGCAATAAATGGGGCAGAGGCCTAGACAAGTTGGGCCTAAACCTGCAACAAGCTGCATTTTCTAGCGGTTTCTCTGTACTTGCCCAATGTCCACAGTCTCACCTCATGCATGGCTGTCATATTAGTCAGGTTCTCTAGAGAAACAGAACAAGATATACAGAGAGAGAGAAAGATTTATTTTAAGGAATTGGCTCATGCAACTGTGGGGACAGGCAAGTCTGCAACTTGCAGGGCAGGCCAGCAGACTGGAAACTCAGGCAAGAGTTCCATGCTGCAGTCTTGAGGCAAAGCTGATTCTTCCCAGGGAAACCTAGGCTTTGCCCTTACAGTCTTCAGCTGATTGGATGAAACCCACTCATATCAGAGAGGGCAATCTGTTTTACTTAAAGTTAACTGACTATAGATGTTAATGACATCCACAAATACCTTCACAGCAACATCTAGACTAGTGTTTGACTAAACAATCGGGCACCATAGCTTGGTCAAGTTGACAGAAATTAGTCATCACAGCCCCCTCCCTGGGGTCTCCTGGACCCACCACTTAGACCATCACCTCCTTCCCTGGGGGTGTCCAGGGACATAGCATTTCTCCTTTTAGATCCCCCTAACACAGACGGACTGATAACATCTTACTTCCCTACAGGCTAGATGACTACCTTCAGTGCCTCCCAGGATGGTTATCACACACACACACACACACACACACACACACACACACACACACACACCCCTACTCTTGGAGGGAAGGAGTTACTTCAAGGGCTTAAAGGGGAATTATCCTCCAAATGCCAACCAAAGGGACTTTAATGGCTCCTCTCTCACTTGAGGAGCAACAGAGAAGGAAAGAAAAACATGTACAGATTTAACCTCTAATGGGACAGCCAGCTACACATAATAGAAAAACAAAAAAGACAAACAACCTTAATGTCCTGCAATAGGTGGTAGGCTAAAAAGAAAAAAGGCTTGTCTATACAAGAGACCACTAGGCAGTGATTAATGATCTCATGTGAGATTATTTCATTACCAAAATATTCACAGTATGGTAAGTCAAAAAATCAGGTTACAAAACGGCATATCCAGTATGATCCCAGCTTGTAGTATGTATATAGTAATTACATACATATGTAATTCTGTACATATATATATAATTCCATGACTATATATATAGTTATTTAACATAGATTTTTTTAAAAGATTTTATTTTTTTATTTGACAGAGAGACAGAGAGAGAAAGCACAAGTAGGTAGAGTGGCAGGCAGAGGGAGAGGGAGAAACAGGCTCCGGCTGAGCAGGGAGCCCGATGCAGGGCTCCATCCCAGGACCCTGGGATCATGACCTGAGCCAAAGGCAGACGCTTAACGACTGAGCCACCCAGGCGCCCTTTAACATAGAATTGTAATACAAATCATTATTTTATATACCAGTAAATGAAAGATTGCTAATCAAATTATGACATCATCAATTTAAGATACATCCTGGTCTCGGGGCCCCTAGGTGGCTCAGTTGGTTAAGCACCTGACTCTTGATTTTGGCTTAGGTCATGATCTCAGGATCTTGAGATCAAGCCCCGCATCGGGCTCATGCTTGGCTGGGAGTCTACTTGAGATTCTTTTTCTCCCTCTCCCTCTGCCCCTCCCCACCATCTCCCTCTCTCTCTAAATAAATAAATAAACCTTTAAAAAAAAAAAAGGTACATCCTGATCTCAGAAATGTTAAAAAGTGAAAAAAAATGCATCTCAGAATTTATGAAATACATATGTGTATGTGAATTATATATACATAGAAAAAACCAGAACATATTATACCAAAATTGTAACAGTGGTTATTTCTAGGTGTCATAATTATGAATAGCTTATTTTTTTAAAGATTAGTTATTTATTTGAGAGAGAGAGAGAAAGAGAGAGAGCATGAGTGGGTGGAGGGGCAGATGGAGTGAATATCCAGCAGGCTCCACGCTGAGCTCAGAGCCCCATGCAGGGCTTGATCCCACAACCCATGAGATCATGACCTGAACCGAAATCAAGAGTCAGACGTTCAACCAACTGAGCCACCCCGGGACCCCAAATAGTTTATTTTTTGCCTTTGTGATTTTCTGTGCTTTCTAAATTTTGTATGTTGGACATATGATATTTGAGTAATTAGAGAAAACAATAAATGCTATATTACCCACCCCTGCAACTCTTCTAATCCTTCTCTCTCTTATGCCCTGCTCCATTGTCTTCAGGTTCTTTATCCAGCCCCCAATCTCTGGCCATGTTGAGCTGTATGGGAGCCTGAGGGAAAAGGAAATTGGCTTTCGTGGAAGCAAACTTTTCAATGATGTTTTCAAAATCGAATTCCTTGCTTATTTCACTTTCCACTGACAGACTGTCATGTTTAACAATTTCTTTTGACCAAGTGATCATCTCGAATAAATTTTAATTAACTTCCGCTGAAGTGAGATCATAGTAAATTCTCTTTTGGTATAAATTAAATATTTAAACTGAAAATAATGTTGTGAGCTTTAATACACCTACTTCTCAATTTTTCAATAGTTTTTCAATGTTTTTAATGTTCTCGAAAAAATAACACTGAAAAATATATTTTAAAATTATATGGGGTGCATGCGCCTTTTCCTTTTGCCTCATGAACAAAGAGTCTTTCAGGATCTGGACAGTAAAAAGGAGCCTGGGCAGACACCATCTCCACAGCCGTGGGCAGCATTTTATAGCAAGATATACACAGCTCTTTGCCTTTATTTGATAAAGTTTTATACAGAAGAGAGAAGATAACGTGTCTTTAAGAGCTCTTTATCAAGAATTTGGGTGGGGGAGGGAAGAAGGGGTTGTTAAAGGAAGAACTGAAATTTTCTACGATATGAAGCTGGTGGTGAATAAGAATAAAAAAATTCTCGGGCGCCTGGGTGGCTCAGTCATTAAGCGTCTGCCTTCGGCTCAGGTCATGATCTCAGGATCCTGGGATCGAGCCCCGCATCGGGCTCTCCCCTCTGCGGGAAGCCTGCTTCTCCCTCTCCCACTCCCCCTGCTTGTGTTTCCTCTCTCGCTGCGTCTCTCTCTGTCAAATAAATAAAACCTTTAAAAAAATAAATAAATAAATAAATAAATTCTAACATTTCAGAAAACAATTGTTGACATTTTGTCCAAGGTAGATTTTTTGCATTAATTTGGGTGTATTAAAATATCACATTAAATATTATTGATTACAAAGGTTTTCAGTGTCCCCTTCAATTTTGCACCTAAGGCTAATACTTCACTCACCTTACCCTAGTCCTGGCTCTACCCCAGTCATTAGCCTTTTTGCATTTTTTTCCTGTCCCACTAACAAAGTGTATTTTTTATAAAGCTGTTTTGTAAAATGGTTTGTGTACATTTGTACATTTATCAGCCTCCCTTCCTATACTGTAGGTGTCCTGAACAGAGAGATGGGCTTATTTACCTTTGTATCTCCGTGTCCTACCCCATATGGAGGCTGGCATGCGGTAGGCTTCCACGTCGTTTTGCTAATGGTAGAACTAGAAGAAGGAAAACAGCTAATGCTAAGGGCTAACATTCTAATATTTACTGAGTGCTTATTGTGTGCCAGGCATTGGCAAATAAACATTTGAAAATGTTTAAAAATAAACATTTTACTTATTCAACCTAACAACTCAATAATAAAAATAATATTTATACCCATTTTACAGATAAGGAAATTGAGGCCGAGGTGAGTGAATTGTAATGCCTGAGGGATGATGGCAGAACTTGGGACAGCTCTGCTTGGGTTCCTAAAACATTTTTTGCCTTGAGGGTTTCTCTTTTGGGCATGAGGGAAATGAGATGAGAAGGAGGAAGGGGAAATATGGGCGGAAAAGATAAAGAAACAGATGTAATAGAAGAACCAAATTATCTCACTTTCACATCAGTTATCTGCTCAAGCTTTACAACAACACTAGGCATCATTAACCTCACTTTCCAGATAAGAAATGGAGACATAAAGAAGTTCAGGGAACTCATTCAGTTCTTTCTGCTGGTTAGCCACCTGTGGGCGGCGGAGGTGGGGTGCAGTGATAGCTGGGGGGGCAGGCTATCAAGCAGCCAGCCGTACCCCCACCACCACCTGCCTCGCAAACTCATGGCAGCTTCCTCTGTAAACTCTGTCCGCTAAGTGGAGGCAGCACCTCCACCTAATGGGCCGGTCTCCCTCCTTCCGCCGCATCTAGAGGTGGGCGTCCCCTCTCTGGGACTACATGTGGAAGCAAGAGACTCGATACGGGCCAAAGCTGATGTCAATAGCCTTACAGAGCTGCCCTTGTCTCCCGTGCTTCAACCAATCTGTTCCCCACCACGTTTCCTGCCTTGCAGGGGAACTCCCTAAAGCACACTGATGTAAAAGGCGAGACTCAGAACACCCAGAAACAAAATCTAAAATGACCAAGAAATAAAAATAAGATGGTGAGAAAATGCTGAAATTCACAGGACTTCGGGAGAAGCAAGGAATCCAGGCATGTTCTACAGAAGAGCTTAGTGATGGGAAGAGTTTCGGTCATGAATATGCATAGATGACCTCTGGAGAGATCTTAAGGTCTAGGAGGGAGAAAATGTACCTTCCTTTTCACAGGGCTTGAAAAAAATTTTTTAACCACCTGCCTATATAACTTCTTCAATTCAAGAAAACTATTTTTTTAAGTGGCTTGCCACCAAGGACAGGCTGAGGTCACAGTCACCTTCTGCAGTGGTTCACCTCCAGACCTTCCTGGAGTGGAGGGCAGGGAGCCCAAACCATCCTTCCAGCTAGGAGACACAGCTCGGTGTATGACATATCAGGGGCAGGTCACACATCCTGCAGACTACATGCACCTCCAAATTAGGCAGCTAATTATTCTAAGGACTCAATGTCATGTCTAAAATTTGAGTCAGCTGAAGTAAAATGGGATGAGTAATTTGCTTCAGGAAACACAGATAGATGCGGCTTCCCTGAGAAGCCAGACACCACCCTCTCGGGAACTCCAGGCTAGGGTTGGTGGTCATGACTCTGCCATGACCTGGGGAAGAACTGAGGCTGTGAGTCCAGCCTGGGCCATCACCCTCAGGTCAAGTTGGGTCTTGACTAAGGCTCAAGGGCCAGGCCAGGATCGCACAACCCCAAGGGTCCCAGAGGCGCGCTGGAGGAAGGGCGGAGCAAAGACTGAAGGCTCAGACCATACAGGAGTGTCTAACCCCCAGGAAGTGCAAATAAGGAACAGCAACCCACAGTCTTCCATAGGAAATGCCCTGAGTCTGAGTAAGACAGCTGTTGAATAAGGCAAGTGACAAGAATGGTAGCAGCTGAGCAGTGGGAGTTATAGGGCTGAGGATCTGTAATGGGGCTAAAAGGGATGATCCAGGTAAATTCTGGAAAGGTCTCTCTTCAGGAGTTTACACCCCAGAGACAGTCTAGTGTGAAAGCAAGGGAGTCAGCGGGGGGGGATTGCAGTTAAGAGAGAGGTGACCCTGCCAAGAGTGCATGGATGCCTCTCTTCTCTCCTCCTTTGGGGAGAGTCCGTCCTTCCTGGTCCCTTGATCTAGTGTAGCCGGGCAAAGTCTCTTCCAGGCTCCACTGGCCTGCCTTGTCTCTTGGGACTCCATCACTGGAAAAACTCTGGCCTCCTTCTAAATAAATAGCTCAATTCTACCTCGGGGTCCCACAGATGACTTCCTGTGGGAAAATAAGATGACTTCCCTTAGACCAACCGTGGATCCCCAAGTGGCTTCTCTGCCCTTCCCAGTTCATGTGAGAGCAGTCTCCTTGCTCAGATTTACCCACCCACACGCGTGCTCCCAGGTCTTACAGACTTAGAAATACACGCGCATTTAAAAACTCAAACAAGGGGCGCCTGGGTGGCTAAGTCGTTAAGCGTCTGCCTTCGGCTCAGGTCATGATCCCAGGATCCTGGGATGGAACCCCGCATCGGGCTCCCTGCTCATTGGGGATCCTGCTTCTCCCTCTCCCACTCCCCCTGCTTGTGTTCTCTCTCTCGCTGTGTCTCTGTCAAATAAATAAAATCTTTAAAAATAAATAAATACAAATAAAAATTCAAACAAAAAGAAAACCAGAATCAGTGGTCCAAGCTCCTACCATAGAACCTTTCCAAATTACCAGCTATTTGTGGCCATCTATGTTACTTCTCTATGACTGAGATAAGGACCTAAAAGATGACAACACAGAACCGTAGAGCTGGAGAGAACCGGTGGGCAGCCCGAGGCTATGGCAGGAGGATTCAGAGTCTGGGCTTCAGAACTTAATTTATTGATTCTAATTCTAGCCCTGCCACCACTTGTTCAATGGTTCTCAAAGTTGAGCAAGCACCAAAATCACCGGGAGTTCTTTTAAAAATGCACATTGGTGGGCCCCATCCCCAGAGTTTCATATTATTTAGGTCGCGGGGGGGGGGGTGGCCAACAATCTACGTTTCTAACAAATTATCAGATGGTGCTGCTGCTGCTGGTCCGGGAACCACACCTAGAGCAAGCAACACTCTAGGCTGTGTGTTCAGCCGTCTCCCGTGTATACTCTGGCTAACAACCGGAGTATTTGCTGGGGTCGGGGCTTACTTGAGACCGGGCGGGCGAAGCCCTTAGCATTGTCCGTGGCTCACAGTTACTACCTGCTCTGGTCGCTGGATGGAGGGGAGGAGTCATTTGCCCAAGACCACCCCGCCAATGAGAAGCAAACCTGGGACGGAGCCCCGGGGCTTCTCACCGGCCCGCCGCGTTCCTCCCCTCCAGCGTCGCTGCCTCGCGGCTCTGAGCCCATGCGCCGCACGCCGCGGCTCCCTGCACACGCTGCTCCGCGCCGCCCGCGGCTCGGTTTAAAGCCTCTCGTCGTTGGGGTGACCAGGACGCTCCGATCTCTTTCGGCGCGGAGGGCCTGGCCGCCGAGACTGCAGCCCCGGGTGAGCTGAGATCTGGAGAAGCCGGAGAAGCCGGGCACCTAGCAGCGCTGGGGCGGAGAATGCCGGGGGGGCGCGGGGCGTCCTCCGCCCGGCCACCAGCCTCCCGGCGGCCCTAGGCGCAGCCGGGCGTTCCTCGGCCCGCAGCAGCGCT